ATGCAGTCTTTTGCAGCAGTACCTGCATTACGTTGACCATCTCTGACCAAAAGCCATCTGGCATAGGCCCAAACAAATAAATGCAGACTGTCTTTGAATTTATTTTCAGTTCAGAGTGATATAGATTAAGTTCATGGCTATAGGGACCGTACAGCCCTCACTCTTGGTGTTTTGCCACTGTAAGTGTTTTTTGGGAAAGGAGGCATGTTCTGGGGGTGATATATTAAACCTAAAAGCTTCCAGGGGAAAGCCTGAGCAGTAAGAAAGTCTAATGCAAACAGAATAATGCTTTCTGTCTTTGGCCCTTAATCTGTAGGAAGGACGTCAGTGTCAAGGGATGGGGAGGTGGCAAGCAGCATAAAAAAATTCATTTGCTTCTCATGGATGCTGTAAGTCAGAAGAGATTCACTCTCTTCTCTTGAGCTCCACTAAGTCTCTAGCTTTAAGTGTATGGCCAGCTCCCCCTCCTTCTCCTGCAGGTAGTGTGTTAGGGGCTTTACAGATTCAAGCCGGAAAGACTTTCCTAGGTACTTCTGGTTTAGAGAAAAAGGGGAGAAGGAGCAATATTTTCTACTCATTTGTCACTTCTCTGATTTGCTTTTTGCTTCTAAAAATGCGTGATTCATTTTTGCAACTGCAGGATGAAGCTCTGTGATTGCAGAATTTATTGCCCTGTTTTTTCATGGGATTTCTTCTTTGCAGATTCCATGGTGTCTAGAATGATGGTTCAGCTCAGGCTGTGTATTTCTCTTTGATGAACAGTAACTTGATTCCTTTCTACTTGGCTCTCAATTTTCTTGAGATCCTGTGATAACTTGGATTTGAGGTGTCTTTCAGATGTGGTCAAAATGAGGGTGAGAAGTTTGTAAACTGTTAGGAGGAGGCAGGGACGGAGGCACTGGATATCTATGGGAACATCTTCCCCTTAGTAAAGCAAGCTAACAACTGTGTGTTGATCCCTTTATGACCTCTATTTCAATTGCTAAAAGACAAACACAAATCCAGTTGGATGTATTCACTGA